AACGTTTCATTTCCACTCTCAAAAGAAAAGCTCAACGAACTTCAACTATCGTGTGTACACAAACGTGGTTATATTGGGTATCCCCACAGGCTCACTATGCCAACGAATGAAACAACATGTGCACTTACACAAGGGACATGTATGGCTACCTCATTGGCCTGTGATAAGCCATACGTGGTAAGTCATAGTTGTTACAAGAGGCATACACATCAAAGTCGACTGCCAAAATTGATTGACTGTGTACCTGAGAAATTCTAAAATTAATGCACTAAGTACTGAGTGTACCTAAAGTACTATACATATACATTGTGTGATGACAGACACATGGATATATAACGAAATATATATGTTATCGATAGTATATATATTTCAAATCTTCAGCTTATAGATCTGCGTGCGTGTATACATCGCCAATTCGGCACTGAAAACCTAGATGTCAAGAGTGCTAATCCCATTTTCCATAGGTAAATATATTAAACCCATTTTACATAGATATATCTGATAAACTCATATTACATAGATAGGTGCGTTGCGCACATACCGTCATCTGGGTCGACAAACACGCAGCCGTGTTCATCCAGCGATGTCAACACCTCATCAATCAACCTGGACAGAAACTTATTGACGTCTGAGGCCTCCGTCCCGTCTAACCCGTAGTACGATGGATTGAGCGCAACGCGTTGGAAGAAGTACGTCCACGTGAGATAGTCGATCCCTCCCTGTGGTAATAGCATGACACATAAAGTGCGCATGTACTTGAAGAGTTAGAACTACGACGTCTTTTCATGCACATATGATCGATCAGTTGAGGGGGGCGACTGCACATTACTTTGGTTGTGGGCTGCTGATTTGAAGTATTCGGAACAGTACACGAGGACTCCATCCAATATGTGCTTGGCATGAATAGACTAACATCTATCATGAATATCTAAGAGACAAAAAGTTTTACACTCGCTGCCCGCTTCGAAATATTTGGTGTCTCCGGCACTTTCAACGACAACAAAAGTGGATAAAAGACCGCATAAGGCAGATACAGCGTCCTTGTTTGTATACGACTCCTAGCAACTAGGTTTACTCGACACGGAAGAGATTCTCAAAAAGACACGAAATACATGTACATCAACGAGGCCAACGCAGAGAAGAAGTTTCAGCATGGTTATTGAGTAGTGGTAGCTCACAATTGGCTACACACTTGTCATGGCTATAAAATTCACGTGTATCCCTTGCCTAAATCGACTTTGATATGCACTGAATCGATTTTGTACGTAATACTTCACCCGTAGTGATTTGAGCGCATGCATGGCATACCTGGAGTGACTTTATATTGCCCGCAGCAATTTCGGCATTGATGTGGTCTGGGAGTACCTGCAATAGATTGGACTCCACCGGGAAGGGCTCGTACAGGAAGCGTTTGTAGAAGTGTTTCTTCGTGTCCTGCACAAGTATACACGCCTGCGAAGGGAAATGGACAACCAAGGTTGTCCACCATGTAAGGTATTGTTATGAGAGAATGCGATCGAAACTCGAATGGGTAACACAAGGCCTAGAAACTTCTTGTGGATGTACAGAGGCTGAAACAAACAGAGACAGAAAAAAATAGCTGCCAGTTAAACCGTGCAGCCAAATGCCCCCCCCCCTCCCGCCGCTCGCACTCAGTAGTGTCAAAGAACCTCGTTTTAGACAAGGGTGGGTAAGATGGCTTTGGCGTGCCAGAGTATGCTTGCAATTCGGACTGCGGATCCAAAAGCCAGAGTGCTCCAAAAATGAGCAGAAAACACGTGCAGCACGTGCTACAATATCCGGAATATTGTCCAGATATCATACTGCAGAAACTCCCCATTTGGAGACGGAGGAAAACTCATTCAAACCACACTTGGCATTCAAAGCTTCGTTACCAATAAGACGATTAAGGATACTGCCATCAATAGCATGTGAATTGCTAACTTCCTCACTAATCAATACACCCACCAGCTATATTAATCATAGACCATTGTCACAATTATCATACTAACAAATCAGATTCAATAGACACCGCACCCTTCACTATAGCGCACCCTTCTCGTAGCCATTAGTTAAAATGAGTCATATAGCGCACCCTTATCGTAGCGACTAGTTAAAAAAGAATTAAAGTGCATCCTCTTCGTAGTGATTAGCTAAAATGAGTCCTATAGCGCACCCTTCTCGTAGCGACCAGTTAAAATGAGTCCTATAGCGCACCCTTCTCGTAGCGATTAGTTAAACTGAGTCCTATAGCGCACCCTTCTCGTAGCGATTAGTTAAAATAAGTCTTATAGTGCACCCTTCGCGTAGCGATTAGTTAAAATGAGTACTATAGCGCACCCTTTTCGTAAGCGATT